AAACGCCCCCCAGAACCCCCCCCGCGCGCGGGCCACTTTACAAACAGAAGCGCACTTTACAACCAGATGGGTCACTTTACAACCAGCTTACAAAATCCGAGAAGGGCACTTTACAACCAGGAAGGGCAATTTACAACCAGGCAAGTGGAAACACATATTGAACGCACGCGGGCCTTCCCCTGAAATCCCCGCGGGCAAGCGCAAGGGTGGCTTTGGGCTCTTTGAGCCATGTTGGTTGTGAAGTTGCCAATCGCGCACGAAGCAGCACTGCGCGCGCGTTGGCGATGCGACGACCTGGTGCGCTATGGCACGTTGCGTGCTGGTGGGCTGATTATTTTTATCTCTTTACCTGCTCTCTAAGCTCTGCCGGTCAGTTATGCCATAGCTTGCTCTGCCTTTTTCTGACGGGCGAAGGCTACTCAGGACATGCGAATAAACCACGATCACGCCCAAGGCTGGAGCTGCATGGCAATGGGAAGCTGCAGTGGGAGATGCGGTGGTAGCGGGGGCCACAATGGGGAAGCTGCGGCGGCAACTGTGGTGGTCGCCAGGCAGCGGTGGGAACTGTGGCGGTAGCTGGGCTGCAATGGGATCTGTGGCGGTAGCGGGGGGTCAGCCAGAATTGTGGAGGCAGCGGGGCTGCAGCGGCAAGCGTGGTGGTAGCAGGGTTGCAGGGGGAACTGCACTCGAAGGGGTTCAACGCGAGGCCGCTGGTGAAGACCCCGACCACTGTCTTGAACATGGCGGCGACCGCGGAGGTGGACGCGCCCCAATAGGTAGACATGGAAGTAAGGCGCGTCAAAAGAGAACGCGCCCAGCGGGAATGGAAACCGACCCCGCCGAAACCGCGGCCGTCGAGCCCCAGCCCAGAACACGGAAGGTGCGGAACCTCGCGCGAGACCAAAGGAAAGTGGCGGGCGCGACAGGAGGTGGTGAAGCGCCGCCGCTCAGCTGGAGGGCCAGCGCGATCGGGGGAGAAGGGGGGGGGGAGAGGAAGACGAGGAGAGAGGGGGGAGGAGGGGGCGAGAGAGGGAGGAGGAGGAGGACGGACAGGAGGGGAGCGGACAGGAAGAGGAAGGGAAGGAGGAGGAGGAACAAGGAGGCGAAGGAAAAGGAGGAGGACGAGGCGCCCCTCCTGCCCCCTGCTGTTCCACCTCATCCTCGTCCTGTTCCTGCCCCCCCCCTCCCCGCCCCCCCCCCCCCCCCCCCTCTTCCTCCTCATCCCGCTCCTCACCCCTCCTCATCCAGGTCATGTTATCCCTTGTTTCCCTGTGTTCTTCCTCGGCCCCCCCCGCCCCCCCCTCCCCCCTCCTCCTCGTCGTCCTCCTTCTCTCCCGTAGCTGGGATGGGAAGGCCGTCTTCCCCCCCCCCTCCTCCTCCTCCCCCTCCTCCTCCTCCTCCTCCCCTCCCCCTCCTCCTCCTCCTCCTCCTTCTCATCCTCGTCATCCTCCTCCTCTCATCATCCCCCCCTCATCCTCGTCCTCATCCTCATCGTCCCACTCCTCCCCCTCCCCATCCTGATCATGTTATCTCTTGGTTTCCCCTTTGTTCTTCCTCGGCCTCCTCCGCCTCCTCTTCCTCCTCGTCATCATCCTCTTCCTCCTCCTGCTGCTACTCCTCTTGCGCGTCCTCCTGCTCGCCCTCCCCCTGCCCCTGCTCGCCGTCGTCGTCGCCGTCCTCCTCCTAATACTCCTCCACCTCCTCCTCCTCCATCCTCTTAGGCTTCCCCATCATTGCCGGCTGCGCGCCGCAGGGAGGGGTCGGCGCTGCCAGATTACACCGCCGACGCGCGCAGACAGCGCAGGGTAACGAGCCATTCGGTCCTCCACCACCATCATCACCATCACCATCACAATCATCACCAGCGTCACCAGCAGTATTATCATCATCAGCAGCACCATCACCATCATCATCAACAACACCGCCGTCACCATCGCCATCAGCAGCATCATCACCAGCATCATCAGCAGCATCAGCAATCTCAGCGACCATCACCATCAGCATCATCAGCATCATCATCAGCAGCAGCATCGTCATCATCAACATCATCATCATCACCGTTGTCATCATCATCATCGTCATCATCATCAGCAGCAACATCATCATCCTCATCGCCGTACTCCTCTTCCTCCGCCTCCGCCTCCGCCTCGCCCCCCTCGTCTTCCTCGTCGTCCTCCTCCGCTCCGTCCTCATCCTGGTTATCATCCTCCTCCGCGTCCTTCTCTCCCTCGTCATCCTTCTCCTCCACGTCATCCTGCTCCTGCTCATGCTCCTGCTCACGTTGTAGCTGGGATAGGAAGGAGGCCGTCTTCCCCCCCTCCTCCCCCTCCTCCTCCTCCTCCTCCTCCTCCGCCTCCTCCTCCTCCTCCCCCTCCTCATCCTCCTCCTCCTCCCCCTCCCCCTCCTCCTTCTCATCCTCGTCATCCTCCCCCTCGTCATCCCCCTCCTCTTCCGCGCCCCCCTCCCCCGCGCCCCCCCCCTCCGCGTCCTCGCCCCCATCCTGCTCGTCCCGCTCCTCCCCCTCCTCATCCTGATCATCCTCCCCCTTGGCTTCCCTCTGCGTTCTTCTTCCCCCGCCCCCCCGCCCCCTCGTCATCCTGCTCTTTCCGTAGCTCTCCTCCTCCTCCTCTTCCTCCTTTTCCTCCTCTTCTCTCCTCGTCATCCTCCTCCTCGCCCCCCCCCCCCCCCCTCCTCCTCCGCAGCCCCCCCCCCCCCCCCCTCCTCCTCATCCTCGCCCTCATCCTCCTCGCCCCCCCCCCCCCCCCCCTCCCCATCATCTGCTCATGTTATCCCTTGGCTTCCCCTGCGTTCTTCCTCGGCCCCCCGCCCCCCCCCCCCCTCCTCCTCGTCATCGCTCTTCCGTAGCTCGGATAGGAAGGAAGCGTCTTTCCCCCCCCTTCCTCCTCCTTTTCCTCCTCCTTCTCACCTCGTCATCCTCCTCCTCGCCCCCCCCCCCCCCCCCCCTCCCCCTCCCCCGCCCCCCCTCCCCCCCCCCTCCCCCCTCCTCCCTCATCCCCGCCCTCGTCCTCCTCGTCCCGCCCTCCCCTCCTCATCCTGATCATGTTGCCCCTTGGATTCCCCTGCGTTCTTCCTCGGCCTCCTCCGCCTCACCCTCCTCCTCGTCATCTTCCTCTTCCTCCTCCTGCCGCCCCCTCCTCCTCTCATCCTATCATCGTATTCCACTCTCTGCTCCCGCCTCCCTCTCCTCATCCCCCCGCTCCTCCTGCTTCTCCTGGTCCTGGTCCTGGCCCTCTTCCTTCACCTCTTTCTCCTCCTCCTCCCCCTTCCGGCAGTTCGTCATCCTTCTGCTCAGATTCCTGCCCCTGCCGCTGCTGCCCCCCCCCCTCCCCATTCGCGCTGTTCCCCCTTATGCCTCCTCCTTCATTGGGCGCCAGAAGAATTTCCACATGAGGTTGGTGTGGTGGGGGTCAGCACTGGCCCAATGGGATTATCTCTACCGAAGCGCCCCCTCTGCAAGGCCAGAAATGAAGACAACGCTGCGACGGAAACAACACGTTGGAAGAACCGAACGCGTTCCGAATGAGAAAACACAGGTGAAACACAAGGTCGGGGATTGTTGTTCCAATCCTGCGTGAGAACGCACTGCGGGGAAAGGGGCCCGCTACTTTTCAGCCGCCCTCACGGCAGAGAGGAGAGCACTATTGACATGGAGTAATTAATCATATTGGGCAAGTGCGGAGGAGAAGGAGCACGAGCAAGAGCAGGAGCAGGAACGGCAGCAAGAGCAGGTGGGTTTCCAGAGGCGCCGACAAACGAAGAGAGAGCCTCGTTTCGGGACTGATGGGGCGCCGGCGTCGAGCCTGGTTCTTGCTCTGCGACGTGAACCCCCGACGGCCGAATTCGACCCCAGGGCCCCCCCCCGGAAAAAAAATGCAACTCCCGCCTGTTGAAACTTTTCTTAAAGCGCCGCTTTATTTTCTGGCCCCTCTGGCAGGCGGGGCGCGCAAAGCGGCAGGCGCCAGGCCGCCGTCGGCCGGGTCTCCGGGCCCGCGCCGCCCTCGCCGCAGCGGCGGTGCATGTTGGCGGGGGGGATGAAAAGGAGCACGCGTCCTCATGAGGCCGCGGCCTCCTGAGAAGAACTTCGCGCTTCACAGCGGCCCCAGACAAGTCCGCAGCCTCTTGAGGAGGCCAGCTCATTCTCAGTCCCCTGCCCGCGCGGCGCCACGGCAACAGGCGCGCTGTCGTGGATCGGCGCGCCCGGCCCCTGCTAGCAAACCCTGTCTTAGTCTGCTGGGCTCAGAGCGCCAGAACGTCCAGGCGCTCGGGCTCAAAGGCATCGCTGGGGCCTGCTGAGAGCGCCCAGGCGCTCGGGCTCAGAGGCGTCGCTGCGGCCTGCGCAGGGCGCCCAGGTCCTCGGGCTCAGAAGCATCGCTGGGGCCTGCGCAGGGCGTTCAGGCGCTCGGGCTCAGAGGCATCGCTGGGGCCTACGCAGAGCGCTCAGGCGCTCGGGCCCCAGGGCGCCCGCGTGCTCTGGAGCACTTTTCAAAGCGCCCGCGCGCCCTGCAGCACTTTTGAGAGCGCCCGCTTGCTCTGGATCATTTTTCAGAGCGCCCACTTGCTCTGGAGCACTTTGCGAAACGCCCAAACACGCGCGGCCACTCTGAGCTGGTTGTAAAGTGGTCCGTTCTGGTTGTAAAGTGGCCCGTTCTGGTTATAAAGTGGTCCGTTCTGGTTGTAAAGTGAGCCGTTCTGGTTGCAAAGTGGACGTTCTCGATGAAAAACCATACTTTCCAAGCCTATGTTGGTTGTAAAGTAACCCATATGGTTGTAAAGTGGCTGTTCTGGTTGCAAAGAAACCGAATCCCCCCCCCCCCCCCCTCCCTCATTGGAACCCCCCCCCTCCTCCGAAGCCCCCCGCCCCCCTCTCCCCAGACCCCGCCCCTCCTCCGAAATCCCGCCCCCCTTGAAACCATCTCCCGACAAGGAGAGGGGGGGGGGCCCTCCCCCCCTCCCCCCCCCCCCGACGCGCGGGGCACTTTTTCCTGCGGTCAAGCGCGGGGAAGCGCCGCCAAACGGCCGGCCGAGGAACGCGGGAAGGGGGGGGGGAGGGGGGGCACACGGGCCCGGCCCTCGCCCCCCCCCCCCCCCCCCCCCACGCGGAAGACACTGGTCCTCGCGCCAGCGTCCGTCCGCAGGGGCACCTGGGGCCACCTGCTCGGGTTGGCTTTTCCCTTTCTCCGCGGCCATGTCGCGATATTTCATTCGCGTTGCATTCCCGAATGCATCCGCGGCCATGCCGCTATGCGTTGATTGGCGCGTCATTCCCGCGCGCGCGGGGCCGCGCACCTCGGCGGCCACTCGGCTTGCGCTGTTTGCGCGCGCGCGGGGCCGCCCACCTCGGCGGCGCCTCGGTCTCCGCGGCCTGCACCTGCGCACCTCCACCAACCTTTTTCCTAATGAGGGCGGGTGGGAAAAAGCAAAAGATGCGCTTGGCAGCGCGCCGTGTGGGGGGGCCCACTCGGCGCCGCGCGCTCGTTGCCACGCGCCCCTGAGTCGCGGCGCGCGGGCGCTCTCCCCCCTCCCCCCCGTCAGCCCAGCATGCCCGGCCCTACCCTACCCAGAGCCGGGGCGGGCTAGACCGACAGGGAGAGGGGAGATCTCTTCCCTCCCCGACGCGCGGGGCATTTTTCACTGCGGCGAAGCGTGGGGAAGCGCCGCCAAACGGCCACCCGAGGAACGCGAGGGGGGGGGCCCGAGGCCCGACACGGGCCCAGCCCTCGGCCATTTGCTGCGCGGCCGGGCCCACCACCAGTTGTGTTACCCCCCCTGCCAGGCAGTACTTCCCTACCACACTTATGGTTGTCCGCAGGCGCGGTCATTGCCGCCGCTGCGCTGCATCCGCGCGCGTGCACGGGCGCTTGCCCAACCGCACTTACGGTTGCAGGCTCAACCACATTTATGGTTGCCAGCGTTCACAGCTACCTTCACACAGGGCTACATTCGCGCGCATGCCCGGGCGCTTGCCCACCCAGTCTTATGGGTATCATGGTGTCCTGCGCGCGCGACTACGTTCACTCTATGCTGCATTCGCGCGCGCGCACGGGCGCTTGCCCAACCGCACTTGCGGTTGTCGGCCCAGTCCCACCTATGGTTGCTGGCGCGCACAGCTACCGTCACACAGAGCTACATTCGCGCGCTTGCACGGGCGCTTGCCCACCCACCCTTTATGGTAATTATGGGGGGTCGGCGCGCACTACTACGTTCTCACTGTGCAACACTCGCGCGCGCGTGCACGGGCGCTTGTCCAACCGCACTTACGGTTGCCGGCTCAACCGCAATTATGGTTGCCGGCGCGCACAGCTACCTTTACACACAGCTACATTCGCGCGCATGCACGGGCGCTTGCCCGCCCACTCTTTATGGTTGTTAGGCTGAGCCACACTTGTGGTTGCCCATCGTCACTGGTTCGTTTGGTTCACCACACTGACGGTTGCCAGAAGCCTCTTCGGCGTTCTCAACGGGCGCACTGTCCTGCATGCGCGCGCGTGCACGGGCGCTTGCCCACCGCGCTTACGGTTGCGGGCTTAGCCGCGCTTATGGCTGCCCGGTTCGCAACGTTCACGCGTTGCCACACATTCGCGCGCGTGCTCAGCAGCCAGCCCCTTTTTACATAGGGAACCCGTCCTTCGCCAGCGCCGCTTCGCGTCTGCAGGCGGGCCCCGCTGCCCCGCTGACGTCAAAGAACTGCGCTGCGGCTGCCCCCATCCGCGCTTGGCGCTAGCTGCTCGCCGTTAACCGACTGGGCGCGTTCGCCGGGGCCCGCGCAGACTGAGGCGAGGCGCGGCCCTGCTCCGCAGGGCGGGTTGCCGCTACGCTCCTTCGCCAAAACAATGCTGGTGCACCGCTGGTTTGGGCGCTGCTGCCTGAAAACTGCGCAGAGCACGCGTGTTAAATCTGCATGGATTTTAAAATGCGTGGCGGCGCCCACGAGGCCGTTTCGCCTCGTGGTGAACCACCCCAGCGGGACTTCTGCGTCGCAGCCGCTGAAACTCACGCGTTTTAAACAGATGCCAGAGCGTGTCCCCATTATTTGCCCCGCGCCCCAGATGGGCGGCCAGCTGCGCATGCGCTGCCCTATCGCGCCACGCGCTTGGCTTGCTTGCAGCCCCTACTGCGGCGGCCCACGCCGCGGGCTTCGCACGCGCGCTTGCTGGCAGCACCGGCTCAGCGGCGCGCAACTGATACAGCTGCGCCAGCTCCGCGGCCTCTCGCTGTTTCGCGACCTCGGCGGAACGTGAAAAAGGGGTCGCTGCTGTTTGATTCGGATGGCACGCACCCGATCCACCAAATGTGCACGCGCAAGGCGGCGGCGATCACCCAGATCGCAGCCGCGAGTTCGCGGCTTTGCTCGTCGCCCGTGGACCCACTAAAATGTTAGAAAGTGCCGCCGTATTGTCCTCCCTGGTTCCCAGGAGGGTTCCTCTCAGCTCCGCCGTCTTAGACAGGAACATCAGCGCCGCGAGGAATTCGGCTTGCGCGTTGCGCTGCTCCTCACCGAGCCTCGGCATTTCGCGGCGCAGCCCCGCGGGCAATTCTTTCGAAGAGCCCCATTGCCCCGCGCCTTCTACAAAGAGCACTGCGCCGACAGCTCCCGCGGGGGTCTCTGTTTCCCGCGGGCCGTTCACCCAAGCCATGGCCCACGCTCGCGGCCGCCCATGTTCCTGGCAAAAATTCAGAGGCATGCGCAGCAAGGCTTGCCATCATTCCAGCGCGAGCTCTAGTTGCGGGGTCCATCCGTCCATGCGGCGTGAGACTACTGGCGCGAAAGCGCGCTCTACTCTGCCGAAGAAAGCGCCACTCGCAAAACTAAGCTGCCCGCCTAAACGCCAGGCCTCCCGCGCCGAAAGATGCCTCGCCCGCGGCGCCGAATCCACCGCGGTCTGGAGGTCTGCCCTCCGCTTGGGGGGTGAGACGAAGACCTGGCCAGAGACTGGCGGCGGCGATCTCCATGCTCAGGAGGTCCAAGCGCGCCGCAAGGCCTTGGTTCTTCTCGGCTTTGAGAGGTATGCCGAGCATTTCGTGGACCTCTTTAAATATCCACTGCACGAGCGCGGCGCGCCGCCGCGGCACCGCGCGCGTAAAGTCGTCTACCCGCGGGAGCTGCGGCGCAGAAAACAAGCGTCGCAACGCATGGCAAACGTTGCCCGGGGCCCCCCCATATCCCCAGACTGCCGCGAGCGCCCCAAACGGAAAGGCTCTGCGCGCGAAAGCCAGAAATCCCCCCTGTGGACCGACGTCCTCGCTCCAGACAAGTGAAACTACAAAACAGTGGTGCTCGGGGCGCACCGCCCACTGGCGGCGCGCCTTTCCATGGCCCCCCTTGGCTAGCACCGGCGCGCCCTCGTCTTGCCAATCCGCGAACCCCTTTGCAATGAGTTGGCAGATGTCTAAGAGCACAAGCAACCCTGCCATGCGCATCTTCTCTACCGCCGCCGCTGCAGGGTTGAGGCCCGATGCCGTGCAGTCATCGATCGGGCGCGCTGCGAAGCTTGACCCCTCGCGCCGTCGAATGCGAGGGAAACGTTGCGCGGGGGGCCACTTGGCAAGGGGGACCTGTGACACGAGAGATCCGTCGCTAGCTGCGTATACGTGCCAGGGGTCCGCCATTTCCCCGTCGCGGGCCACCTCGAGCGTCTGCTGCGTGACCTCCACTGCGCCTGGCTCTCTGCGAGGTTTGCCCAAGAGCGACCGCAAAGTGTCACCTTGCCGCTCCGCGGCTCGCCTTAGCGCGCGCTCGAGTTCCTGCGCCGCGGGTTGCACCCCTGGCAAGAGTGCCTCGAATTGCAAGGGGTCTGGCAGGATCCTCGCCGTGGGAAAGCCACGCTCTATGTCGTCGCGCAGCTGCGCATCCTGGCGCCCCGAGGCGCGAAGCATTTCACGACGCAGCGGGCCGCGGTATTGGGGCGGCAACGCTGCCGCCACATCGGGCGCCAACCCCGCGCGCCACTTAATTCGTGCAGGCTCCATCTGCCGCGCAATGCGTTGCCACAACCGCACCTGCGCTATTGCCCAACCCTCAAAGTCAGCACAGTCGCGCATCCATTTCAGGGCGCTCAGGACGCCCTCCGGGACTTCCGGCGGCTGGCCCAGCGGGTGCGCCTCGAACGGTTTCGACGCCTCGGCGTTCCAGCGTTGCCGGATGTGCTGCTCCAGGGTTAGACTACGCGGGCACCCGGACGCATCCCCACTGCACCTGCCGGCGGGTGGCACTGACCGGGCCTGACCTTTGACTTCCGCCCAGGGGACGCAGCCCTGTTGCGCGCATTGCACATGGCAGCGCGCCGTGGGGGGGGGCCCACTCGGCGCCACGCGCTCGTTGCCGCGCGCTCCTGAGTGGCGGCGCGCGGGCGCTCTTCCCCCTTCTCTCCGTCAGCCCAGCATGCCCAGCCCTACCCTACCCAAAGCCGGGGCAGGCTAGACCTCCTCCGAAAACCCCCCCATCCGCCGAATCCCTCCCCTCATCCGAAAACCTCCCCCTCCTCTGAACACCTCCCCCTCCCCCGAAAACCTCCGGTTCCTGCGAAACCCTCCCCCTCCTCCGAGATCGTTCCCCATCCCCCGAAACTCCTCCGAAAACATTCCCATCCTCCGAAAACCCCCCCTCCCCCGACCCCCCCCCCTCCTCCGAAAACCTCCCCCTCCCCCGAAAACCTCGCCCTCCCCTGAAACCCTCCCCCTCATCCGCAACCATCCCCCTCCTCCGGAAACCCCCCCCTCTCCGAAAACCTTGCCTTCCTCCGACCCCCCCCCCCATGCGAAAACCTGCCCCTTGTCCGCAAACCTCCTCCTCCTCCCTCCGAAAAGAGGGAGGCGGGGGAGGAGGGGGAATAACGAGGACGGGGTGGACACAGGAAGCGGAAGTCTGGCGGACCAAGCATTTCCCCGCCAACTTTGGATTGATTTGCGTTGACCCCTGCCAAGTTTTTTTTTCTCACAGCGGCAGGAAGCGGCGGGCGAAGGTTGGGTCCGCGCGCATCTG